AGGTCGGATCCTTCGTCTTTACGTTCCTCTCACCTCTATTTTCGCACGGATTTCGATCGAGAAATGGTCAGATCCCCGATTGCGAATCACTAAACCTCCTAGCAAATTAATTAACACAATTAAGGAAATTGTCGATAGATTGTAATTCCGAGAAACGAAAAAAAAACTGCTAACTAGTGTGATTTTTTCCCCTTTCGAAGGAAGCGGTTTTGCGATAAAAGACACTGTTTTCGAAAAATTTACTGCGGACTCGTCGAAACCTATATCACATCCTGTTTTCACGATAAAGGAGTCTGCGATTCCCACTTTTGTAAAAATAAAACAATAAAAAATCGAACTTGAATGTGACAGAACATCTAGTTCACTGGATAATTTTTGAAAAATTTAACAAATAAAATAAAATAAAATCAAGTGATGTTAACAAGGAGAGATTTCACATCTCAATCGAGACCTAAACGCCTAATTATACAGTTCGTTAACAAACTTGTTTAAATAAATTAAAAAAAAAACTTCTCAATGTAGATAATGTAAAATGAAACGATACAATAGGGTATATATACATTGAAGGGAAAAAACAATCTAGTCGTATTACTTAAGACTGAAGACATAATTTAAAAATAAATTTGTAAGATTTCCAACGAAGATGATGTTTAAAATAAAATAAGAAAAAAAGAATTAAGATTTCGAATATTTTCCCAACGCTTAAAGACAAGCAAATCATTTCAATAACGATTTACCCATCTTGCTTCCTTATTTTCATATAAATTAATATTAATTGAACCAATTTATTCACTATTAATCATTAATGCTTTTTAAAAACAATCAAATTCCCGCCTAGAGTAATTGTGCACAAAATATCAGTCGTCCAGCTACAAGATGATGTAGGAATTTTAAATGTTTTAACAATTAAGTCAAACCCCACTACAATTTTTCCATAGTTGACTCTTGAATTAGTTATTAACATTTAATAGTTTTGTTTCATTTTTTCGGATTTTCGCATCGGCTCCCCCCCCCCCCGATAAGGAAATCTAACTTGGAAAAACTACCAATTTGTTCTTCTCACGGTCGATCGAACACGGGTATAATTTTTTGAGAAATTCTATACTTTACAGTACGAAATCTATAGCTGACTTGTTTTCTCACCGGCGACCTGCTTAGAAATGCTTTTTTGCCGTAGATGCCCATGAATGAAAACGGCGGCGTGCAAGTCAGCGAAAAAGAAATTCACCTTTCCAATAGCATTATTTAATACTCGTTTTCAACCGAAATTACTCAAGACGAAGATGAAAATCACTTCAGTTTCTCGGAAAGGTTTCGTTTTATTGCAACTGCAGGTCAAAAGGGGTCAATTAGTCAAATTCCACGTGTGGCGGATTACTTTTATCGGCCTTTACCCTTAAAATAAAACTTGGAACTGAATGAAAATATTCATAAAAATGAAACTATACTGGCCTCACAAATGTTTACTCTCAACAACACTGAAATTGATTTTTTCTCCTCACATCCTACGAATTTCTTCGAGATTTTCGCCAAATGCCTTTTCTTGCGTACGCATTACTTGTGGGCAGATTTGGAAGAAAAATATGTAATGAAATGCACTATAAATAATAAGTAACAATGAAATTTACATTTTTATCGATGCTATTAAAAACAAAAATACTTCTCTCTGAACAAGCAAATTTTTCAAGACTTAATTGTAAAACAAACGAAACAATCGGCGATAGAAACTGCACGTAAAAGCTTTCCGATTTATATACACTGAACTTGGTTGCTTCACAACATATTTCATTGGCGATTAATAAATACTACACTTAACGATAAATTATAAATTACGGCTGTATTTTAGATTTATCAGTTTAGTTTTTACATTATCTTTGTATTTTAAAACATTCATAATAATTCGAAATTTTACTATTTATTTTTATTCAGATATCGATTAACGGTCACTAATCTCTACACACTATTTATTTTAAGTAAAAATTTCAAGTTCGTCTACCGGAAACGTGTTTCTGATTTCTTTCTCCCGTTCTTTATTTTTATTTTTAACGAAAATTTTATTACATACGATTATTATGCAAGTAAGGAAATGCGTGGAAGATTCTGGGCAAATCCTCTGTTGTTTGCTTAGATTTTCTCGTTAGAAGCACCACAATGAAAAATTAGGTACGTATCATTTTTTAAGCTACACAATGCCAATATTATTCTATGATTTTTATAAATTATATTAAATGTACAATTTATTCTAGCATTTTATTCAAAATAAGTCGATGCGATAATACTAGAGATGACACATCGCTTATTATACGCACATACACATAATAAGCACACTCATAAGAGTGACCAAAAGACATTAAAATTTAACTGACTTTTTGTTACCTAGTTTTCCTCTTGATGCGTTATAAAAAGCAAAACCAGGTAATAAATTGTTAGTTTAATTTTAATCTATAACTAAATGATTTTCCGGTGTTTTGGTGAGATTTCTTTCAAACCATCAATCGTAATTAAATAGTTTGTTTTAAAACTCATGAATTTTTGATCTGATTTAATTTGGTTTGCATTAAAATAACATGCTGTAATTTATACAACGATTAAAAAAAAACTGATAGTTTGAAATAACAAAATACGCCTTTTTCCCCCTTTGAATATACAGGGTGTATCAACTTCTACAGTCCACCCATTTAATTCGGAAACGATTAACTTAACCATAAAAAAATGGTCTTATACAAACCCGTTAATTTTGGCTAGGAATCGCGTGGTGGTAACAGTTTTAACATACTTTCTCATCTAGCTGGGAAATGACGCTGACTTTGTTATTTTAAATGAGAATGCCACATTTTAATTGTACAGTTCGATTCTAGAGCTTATTTTATGCCACTTTTAATGAAAGGAAAATTTTTATAGGACTGACCATTTCTGAGTTATGCGCGACGGAAGATGCGTGCAGGGTGTTTTTGGCACCAAAAATTAACTTGGAGTTTGTATAAGCCATTTTTTGTTCAAGTTAATCGTTTCGGAATTAAATGGGTGAACTATGTTAGTTGATACACCCTGTATATCAATGCATATAAACCATAAAATACGTTTGCTTTTAGCCAACATCATCGTCCTAAAGGGCCATCCGTTCGGGAGAGATGGTTGTATTGATCAAAGCCAAATGATAATTTAATTATTATTAGATGTAGTAATAGTTTTTTTCTATCCGTCAAAAGAAATCATAATCCAGCTCAGCACCGAGGATGTTTATACAACAAAAGAAAGCTTGGCATGAAGATGGGCGTTATGCTGAGTCTGACCTAATACCTGATAATTAAACCCATAAACACACACGGTCGATCCATCACTCATCACCACACCAACATCTTTCTGGAATCAGGCTGACGATTTAATTGTTTAATTGATTCGACGAAGGATTCGAAAACGCTGCCGATATTTGGTCATCATACGCAATTAACAGGGCAATATTGTTTTATTATTTTTTTATATTTGGTAAAAGAAGAGGGCTTTGAGCCAATCGTTTTAAAAACCTACGCAAGTGGGTCGGTACTTTTTGAAGTGAAGCACATTTCACTGATGACTTTTTGGCCACTCGACTAGAATTGAAACTCAACTAAGCCGAATTGAAAATATTAATCGTGATTATGGACCCGTCCTCTCGGATAGGTAAATTTCGTCAAAAACGGGAGCGTGGGAAGAGAGAATTTTATTGAATCGTTAAATGACGGGACGAAGGGGAGGAGGAAAGGCGGTGCTTGAAATATTTCCTAAACGGGTAATCATCTAACGGGTGACTTCCGGCAGATTCTTCAAAGAAAAAAATAGGTTTTTTTTCTCTACCTGGGCTGTACTTTTATCCTCTCCTTAAATGGTCAACAGCAAATTTCCTCCTTTAATTTTACATATTTCCGGTGGGTCGATAATCGGAGAAATATTACACGGGAGATCGGTATTCCGCCGACGGACGTGTGGGGGGAGGGAGTGGAATTGTGTGAAGTGACTGTACAGGAAACGGCGACCGGATGTTTACCATGAATGGACGGCCGAGGGAGGGAGATAGAGAGGGCATGAGGGAGAGAGAGCGAGTGTGAGAGAGAGCGAGCGAAGAACGGACCGAGGGTGGTGAGAGGGAGCGAGGGGGTGAAGGAGCGTGGGGGCACGGGTGAAAGAAGGGCGAGAAGAAGGACGGACGAAAGAGAATGAGAATAGAAAAGAGCGAGAGAGAAGGTCGGCCGGGGCGGGGAGGGTGGAATGAATTGGTCGGACTGGTGGGGGAAATCCATTCAACTCGACACTGAATGAACAGCCGTTGTATAACAGCTATCTCTTGTCCCTTCCCGAACGAACGCAAAACTTTTACAAACTCATTCATGGCCAAAATGTGTGATGGCTGAGCGAGGGGGGCGGAGGCACCCCGTGGAAAGAATTTTTAAAAAAATCCTCGACGGGAAACGTGTATCAACCCCTCTTTTTTCTTCTCTTCCCCCCGACAGAATTAAACACGAGAGGCCGAGAAGAAGCAGGAAATGGGACTTCCTGTTTCTCCTGCCTCAAATATGGCCTCCCGGGACAGGACGTGACGTAGATATCTCCTTCTGACCGATCTAGAAAAAAAAAGAATAGGTGAAGAAATCGTGGAAGACGCTCCGAAGACGAGAGACGGGCCGAGGGGCGGGATCGGCGGGCCCGTCCGGGGGCGGCTCCGGCGGATAATAGTTTCGACTTTTTATGAATGGTCGTATTCAAAAATGAATGAACGTTCGATTAGATCTGTCCCGGGGAGGAAGGGGGCAAAGCCGGGGGAAGGGATTGTGAATTAAAAATGAATACTTGAGTAGTCACCTTGGCGGATACGTCATATCCTGTCAGTCCTAGTTGTGAATGGGATATCCAAAGAAACTATTATCATCACCGGACACATCCGCCCCCACCACTCCGCTCTTTTCCGGTGGCGGCAGATCGTCCTACACGATCCAAAATAATAAAGGAGAAAATTTCTTATTTACCTGGTTCGACATCGGCTCCATACTCTTTCATAATAGTTCGCTCGCACTAACACTTTTCACACTTTTTCTAATATCAAAAAATTATCACTTCTACTCGGAAAAGAGTCCAGGGAGAAAATGATTGCGTTAGACAGAAAAAGCTTGTTTTGATAACGGCGGTGCGGAGTGAGCGAAGGCCTCGTGGAACTGTTAGCCTACGGTGGCCATCTTGTATGCCGAGTCTAGAACGCTCGAGAATGCGGCTGATGGTCGTCACGTCGGGCGGCGGGGCTCTCTCTCGTCTCGGGTCCGGCGAAGGGAATCCGGGCGTGGGCTCGGGGGGCGTCGGAGGCGGCTTTTCTTCCGGGGGCTGTGCCTTGGGGCCTCTAGTCAACGGGATCGTCTTTACCGTCTCTCGGTCTCTTCCCAACTGAATCCCGATTGAATGTCGGCCCCGGCCGGATGGAGGGGGCGCCCAGTTCAATGGTGGCGTCCGCCGGGCGGCCCGCGCATGCGCAAAGCTCTCCGCCTCTTCCATTCATGCCTCGGGAGCCGGCCTCGGGCCGGGCCCCAACGGCCGACACGCACTCACGCAGACGATGCGACACGCACTCCGCGAAGTCCGAGCCGGCGGACAGCGCGGAACACGCCCAATGTACCTGCATTCTCAAATGACAATCTGCGCCCACTCCCGTCCGACACAAAATTGAACACCATGAGATGTTACTTTTCCAAAAATTAAGCTTCTCGCGTTGTTGCTCAAAAAATATCGATTATTTCACAACACTTTAATTAAATATTGCAATTTTGGCGTTTCCGATCTTCTTTTGGGCCTGTGGGATGTTTAATCGTGTCCTTTTCTGCACAAGTTCAGTCAGATATCAACACCCGATAAAGGGGCGAGAGAATTGCGTTTTGTTTTTTGTCTTTGATTTATCGTGGAGTACGTCCGGGCCGATGGCAAAATGCCGAAATGCGTCATGACAGGTGAAATCAGCGAGAATTGGCGGACCGTGAGCATCAGAGATCTAGTCTCATCAGCTGCAAAGCTCAAGGATCTCACATTTCATACCATACAAATTCAATATCGATCGTCCTGCAAAAGCGACATTGATCCTTATGTTTAGTCCAAATTTTAAAATTTCTATGAACTGCTTTCTATCCTTCTTTTGAACATGTTGGCCTTAATAAATGCTACGGATGCATATTTTGCCTTCTGAAAGTCTTTTTGGTAACCTATTTTGAAAACAATTTTAAGAAATTATGATTCCGTGATGTTCAACAAATATCCTTTCTGAACTGCTGACCGAGCAACGACAGCGGAAACTGTTGATGTGATAGAGAGGAGACGTAGTTGATATAGTCAGATCGGAGAATTGTAAAACATTCGTGTTGTTTCAGATTTTTACAATAATGTATGCGATTTTATTACAAATTAGCAATAATGACCTGGAAAAAGACCTGGAACTCTTCACATTTTATCCCAGCCCAGGCATTCATAACGTACAGCTAACACGGTTCATTATAAAGGATTCCCTGCGATACATTTTATAGGATAAATGTGTATGTTTAAGTGAAAAGTGTGCAGCCTTAAAGACAAAAAGAGATTTCGCGTCTCTGGCATTTATCAAATAGAATTCACATTGGAGCAGATCAGATTGTCCTATTAAAAACATGTCAAACTGGACGCAATGTAATGCAGCTTTCATTGGTCACGTTCTAAAAATTATCTTGATTTATTGCTGCTTTGATAGCAGCTGTCTCCTCGCGAAACTATCACTTTAGTAATTTAGCTCCGACCTAATATAGATATATTTTTGTAGATTTGACGTACACACGATACGACACGCTATGCAGTGTCATTTATGCTTTCTTTTTTGTAAAACATAAAACAGTTTGTGTTTTTTAGCCAGGTTTTCCTGTACTCGTTTATAAACCGGATTTTCAATAATAGATCATTTACAAAAATAGGCAGCTAAATGCCTTAAAAATGACCTGGGCATAAAGCACTCATGCTCGGAGGTATTTAGGAGACTTACATTTTGAATCACCGGATATTTTTATTATTATTATTATTACTATTATTTTTATTGACAGAAGTAATACTTTATTCGTCAAGGAGTGAGTACAAATATATAGTTTTATATCAAACATTTTAAAATTGCCTGTAAAGTTAAAACTAAAAATAATACTTATTAAACAGCGACTACAATTGATAAGTATCAGTATAAGTTAAGCAGTATAACATATAAACATAACGTACAAAAACATAAAAATACTGATCATTGCAGGAGTACCTAAAACGTAGCTTGTAGCTTTGATTGTATGTATAATTCTAGGAGAGAAAAAAATAAAATGAAATAAACAAAAAGAAAAAGATACAGTTTGGGAAATTTTACCATCCTTACAATTTTACAATACTTGTTAACTGAAGAAATCAGAATTCATATTTTATACATATTTGTGTAGTGTTTAGTGATCATTAGTTAATGATTATTTGGAGATCGTGAGATGCAGTCTGGTGTTTCGTAGTTTTTAGAAAAACATTTTCTTTATCGTGTTTTTCTAAAATCTACGAAACACCAGACTGCATCTCACGATCTCCAAATAATCATTTATACATATTATTTATCACCGGATATTTCATAAAAATTTTATATAGATTAAAATACAATATTATATAATATAGAAAGAGAAACCACGTCCAACTTTATATTTCACATATATTCACTTATAAAAATATATCAATCGTTCATCATTCAAATCACATATCAACAAGAAAAGATGATTATAATAAAAGATGCAGATTATGCAAGTTAAAGCATAAATTTTACTCAAGGTGTGTATGATTTTTATTAAAATAACGCGAGCTCCTGTATAAGAAAAAGTAGTGAAGCGTGAAAGAAGGCGACGGATGTTCGTCAGTGGGTGAATTCTGAACGCCAACACAAGAATTTCTCGTGTCGGTAAACGAAGAACAGATGTTCCTGTTGCGAGGGAAAAACACATCCAAAACCAAAATTACTAATTCGCGAAGAAAGAAGGTTGTCAAAGAAAAGTTAAGGTAAGTCGATTTTCCAGCAGTCTTTATGAATTTGTGTCCTTGGTTCGGCAAGAATGAATAATGAATAGGATGTACAAAAACCTGGAAATACTTTTTTTAAACGAAGGCGTTTGTGGGTTCTTATATTTCTACAATTTACCCTTTCTGCTAGTGCAGCTCGTTGTATGCTTGAAATGCAACCGTTCTAGATTCGGCATACTTTATGTTCGATAAAAACTTACTCACCCTATAAAATTTATCGTTTCGCACGATCTCTGATTTGTCGCTCGCGTTCAGCAGAGATAAAAGGGGGAATGAATGGGTGTAATCTGTGGTTACAATTCACTTGATCCCGTTCATTGAACATTTTTATCTTTCGGATTGATGTCGGAGATTACTACAAACTCCGATTCTCCCCTTTCCTCTCCGAATGCTCTTATATATTTAAATTCAAGTTGTATCTAGACGGCACTAAAACTGTTTCAATAAAAGTTTTATGGAACTCGCGGTCGCTACTCGCTTACCGTCTTCAAATAATTCCGAGGGACGTTCATCTTGAAGTAAACGACGCCATGTTAATTGGGTTGTGAAAAGCGGAAGTCTGCTGTCCTCAAAATTTCCCGAAGGTCGGAATAAAGTAATATTCAATTCAATAAAAAAATATTGAACGTTTTCATATTGATGATTATTATGTTACATCGCAGGGTTAATATACTACTACCTGCCTCATTCGCCCATTCCGATTCTGCTGTTGAAGTTAGCAAAATGGTCTCCCAATTTTTCCAGGTGGATCTGGGGTTAGATAGGGCTGTGTCCTTAGGCCCTTGTTGTTTTCCTAATTTACTAATCACCTTCCTGATACTCTAGATTTTGGAATTCGCTGCTCTAGTTTATTAATACTAAAGACTCCACTATGATGACGCCTTACAGAGAAAAATTAAAGGTTTAGAAAATTTTGCTATCAATGGAACCTGACAATAATTTAAATAAATCCTAAATCATAGTTTATCGTCGGGGGGGGGAGGCAGGATGGTATGTTGGGAGCACTGCTTCTTTGGAGGCAATCGAATTGACGTTGTGAGTGAGCCTCTTCGCCGAATTCTCTCTGACATCTCACCTCAAATAGAAAATTTATACGGAAAAATTTGCAATAAATTCGCTTTGGTCCAACCTCTCGTACTCTCTACCTAATATTACGTTCAATGAGTCCCGGGTTTCGTGGGTATCAGCGTTTCAATCTAGTCGAATTTATTCAGCGTTTTTTATTCGTAAATTATTTCAATTAATGAATTTTACGGCTAACAATATGCTCTACTTACAGAATCAACTGACCTTTTCATGTACACCTTAAAACACCACCTTACTTACTTAAGCAGGACACTTACGCTGCCTGACTTCAGACTTCCTAAAATTACAACGTATTATGAAAAGAGAGAAGTGGCTCACACAACATGTATTTTAACAATGTTTTCAACAAGCACGTACACAGAGAGAAGAGAGAAATTGAGAGCTGTCAAGGTGTAGCTTTGGCAAAGATTCTTTAACCATGAGCTTATTATGTCTGGCTCCTCTAGAGGTCGTCCATTTCACCTTTTGTTTCAGACGGGCCCATTCTGAAATGGAGGAGTCTATGTTTATGTCTTCTTATCACAATTAACGTTCTGGGCCTAGTTGCTCTTGCAGATCCCTCTCATTCCAGTTTGTCTCAAAATTCCTTTGTACCCACACACCCAACATAGTGTTAGGTAGTGAGATATGGTATGGTCTGCAAGGTGATGAACATATAATTTCGTCGTTACCGATGATTCTGGTCCATTTATTCTCGCTTGGTCTGTCGTGGTATTTTGGCATTTCGCCATCTTAAATATTTGGTCTGTGTGATTTCTGTGAAGTGAAGTATCTTTTATAGATACGTGAGGGTTGCAGGCTTGTGTCGGCGTTTTATTTAGTTTTGTTTTTTATAATGGCCTTTAGTGAATTAAGCATTGTTTTTCATTGGTTCCGGTAGGTCTTTTTTTGCAGTGTTTTGAAAGATGAAAATTATTATGTCAATTGTTGTTAATTAGCCAAGTTTTCAAGTATGTATGTTGATTTTTCGACCTTTTGTACACTGTGTAGTAGTTTCATTTATGACGGTACCGTTGAGGTTGCGTGATGATTTTCTATCATGGGTCGCTTAGTTTGATTTTCCTTCCTTAAACCATCTGATATGTCCTTATATCTTCATATCTTTATTTTCGTCCAGTCCGTCGTATTTGTCTCCGCATTCGACTGTTTTAGTCTTGAGGGTTGGACATGTGCATAAGTGTTTTTTTTAAATGATGTGACAGCAACACCACCAGGCGGCGTAACCATATGTTAATATAAATTGATTATCAATATAAATAATAAATAAATTTA